TTTGAGCTCCTTGGGAAAGAAAATAGGCTATGTATGTGGCGAAAAAAAAAGGGACCCTATAAGTTTTTGAGTTAGTTAAGCATTAGAAAAATGTTATGTTATTGAATGTAGAGTAATATTATAATTGATTATGTGGAAATATGCAGTTGGTGCACGAGAAGATTAAACAACCTTGTATTGATAGATAGAACAGAGAGGAAGAGGGAAAATTAAAGGACCAATGACTAGTTTTGAAGCCTTATTTTTTAAGGACTGTCTCTTATACACATCTAGATGTGATGAGCAACCCAGAATCAATCAAAGTCAACATTCAGATACTCATTCTGTATCAGCTCTGGACACTCACTGAATAAGTTTTTTAAGAACCTTTTAACCTTTGCAAAAAATTTCAATTATTCATTTAAACATTTTTGTGAGGGTGATTTATGTACGATAAGGGGCAACTCATTCTAATAATAAGAACAAAGAAAGAAGAATGAATTGTTTGGAGCTTTGGTTTTCATGTCTATCAATGAGGTGGTACCTTGCTGTAACATTTTTGTAGGAAGTTATTATTGTCTTGAGACATTTTTTAAAAGAGAATTATTGTAGAGTAATACGATGGGTGGTCATGAGCTTATATATTTTTTCCAAAAAATCATTCAATATCTTTGTATATATTTAAGTTGACATTTCAGGATGTTTACCAGCTCTGGTATTGGTCCTGTTAAACACATCGTGTGCTGCGATTTGGTTAGAACTAGCGGTTTTGCAATTTATAGTTTGTTTTAGTGTTTGAAACCATATGTTTACTGGCCACAGTGGTGTGGTTAATGTTTATTGTTTTCTGTACCCCAATTCTGCTGCGCTAGTGTGTCAACTCCCTCAGATTTGCGAACCTGCTGTTTTAACGAGGCAAATTGCATATTGCTGAGTGTTGCAAGACCGATCCACTGTATGTGGGCCACTAACTTTTTTTCTGCAGTACTCATAAGCAACATAGATTTCTTTTAGCCAACCAGAACATAGGAAGCCCACGATGACGTCCCACATACTCATGAAGAATTAATCAGAAGCCTAACCTCGCTGCTACTTTCGTTTTGCAGAAGGGTGAAATGAAAGCTTTTGCATGTTTAAATAGTAGGGTGGGCAATTAAGAGAGCACTGGGTTACAATTCATAGGGTGGGTTATTAATTAAGTGCCCTAGCTTACTATTTATATGATGGGTTATTAAAAAAAAGCATTGAGTTACTATCAATAGTGTATAGGTTATTAACAGCACTGGTTACTATAAGCCAACCAGTAGGTTGTTTTACGCCGTTATCAACTATCATATAGTTGGCTTGATTATTATAGGCTTGATTCACTATGTGGTGGTGTATATGCATTGGTATATAGGCCTAGTACCTTGGTATTAGTAATTGAATTTTCTTGCAAAGTGCTCTTAAGAAAAATATTATCATGTATTTTGAGCTCCTTGGTAAAGAAAATAGGCTATGTATGTGGCGAAAAAAAAAGGGACCATATAAGTTTTTGAGTTAGTTAAGCATTAGAAAAATGTTATGTTATTGAATGTAGAGTAATATTATAATTGATTATGTGGAAATATGCAGTTGGTGCACGAGAAGATTAAACAACCTTGTATTGATAGATAGAACACAGAGGAAGAGGGAAAATTAAAGGACCAATGATTAGTTTTGAAGCCTTATTTTTTAAGGATGAGGGCAGAGAGACTGCCGATGCTCCCCAAATAAAAAAAAAAAAATTGATTGATCAATCACATGCTCATCAATGTACGATACCACCAAACGATGATGATAATCTCACTCATTAGTAGGCCATGCCAGGCGCGGATCCAAAATTTTCCATGACATAGTCCTAGGCTAGCATAATACGGTAGCACTGTAGTAGACTAGATAAGCCTAGACTCTAGGCATAGGACTCTAACTACGACACACTTACCAAATAGTTTGGGAAAATGATGATTATGTTTTGTTTCTTGTTTGTGAGGCTACTTGTCATAAATCTTAGGTTCTCTTCGAGGGTCAACACATGTTCGTCATTGCACAGAGTATATCTACTAGATACTGTGGACTGATCACCCTCACCCTCACCCACACAAAATGGATCCATACTCGATTTGGGATTTTTTTTCAATCAATTGTGATCAGCTGCCAAAAACCTATCATCAACGAATAACGCAGTGCGTATCCCACGTGTATGTACATTGGTAAGAACTGGCCTCAACGTTTTTGCAAAAAAATTATGGTGATGCAAGACCACATGGAATCCTTGTCCAACAATAATATTGTTTTTTTCCACTGAAATCATACGTACGTTTGATGGTCTTTGGCTACGGGTACATGATAAAAACCATCTTTAGAGTCCAATATACAGTAATAAATAAATCCTTGCTTACAACACTAGATGAAATCTCATTAATTTTTTCATTTGTAAATTTCTTTGTCTCAATAAATGAGTTCAAGATGTTTAAATCAATAATTATAAGCCACTGTTTTTTCTCCTTTATTTCAGCACATTTAATGGTGACACTACAGTACTAATGGTTTAAGATTTTCATACAATATGATTTTCAGATAATTTTTTTAAGTTCAATGTGAAAACATGAGTTCATGTCGCGACATTCATGCCCAAGGAGGGCGCTTGTCTATTGTAATTACTGACATTACACATCTAGATGTGTATAAGAGACAGAGCCTAACCTCGCTGCTACTTTCGTTTTGCAGAAGGGTGAAATGAAAGCTTTTGCATGTTTAAATAGTAGGGTGGGCAATTAAGAGAGCACTGGGTTACAATTCATAGGGTGGGTTATTAATTAAGTGCCCTAGCTTACTATTTATATGATGGGTTATTAAAAAAAAGCATTGAGTTACTATCAATAACGTATAGGTTATTAACAGCACTGGTTACTATAAGCCAACCAGTAGGTTGTTTTACGCCGTTATCAACTATCATATAGTTGGCTTGATTATTATAGGCTTGATTCACTATGTGGTGGTGTATATGCATTGGTATATAGGCCTAGTACCTTGGTATTAGTAATTGAATTTTCTTGCAAAGTGCTCTTAAGAAAAATATTATCATGTATTTTGAGCTCCTTGGTAAAGAAAATAGGCTATGTATGTGGCGAAAAAAAAAGGGACCCTATAAGTTTTTGAGTTAGTTAAGCATTAGAAAAATGTTAAGTTATTGAATGTAGAGTAATATTATAATTGATTATGTGGAAATATGCAGTTGGTGCAC